AGAGTCTCATTTAGCCTGTTACTCCCATCCTGTCCTACCATGGAGCAGTAACTTCCATGAAACAATAACTTACTCTGGGAGCAGGAGTACTTAGTGCAAATCAATGGGGCTGCTTTTGAGCTAGAGCCCTACCCACTGATGGTACCTACTCCACTTCTACTGGAGTCCTGCTCTGTATTTGAGAAGATTCCATCAGTGAAGAAAGGATAGAAGGTTCCTCTCTGAGAATAGGTTGAGCAAACTTGTAATATATTCCAATGTTTGCCAGTTAATACAGCTGAAAATCTCCTGCTACTTTTTCCATCAGAAAAAGAACTTCAGATAAGATTAATGTATTCACAAGTTCATGTGGAAAATCTGCAAATAAGACTGAAAGCAATCCTTTTTACATATGGAAATGTCCATATTTTTAATGATTAATTTAATTATAGAAAGGCCAATCTTTTAGGAAGAACGACTTTTTTTTTTTTTTTTTCACTTTTTTTTTCTTTCGGAATGGAAAAAGTGATCTCGATTTCAATGGGCTTTTATCATTACAGAGAAAAAAACATTTCTACCAAGGGTTAACCTGAAATGCTCAGGTTTGCTTTTTCAGTTTCAAAAGGAAATGTTAAAGATTTCTCTCTTTTCTTGACCTGCAGTTATACTCTGTAACTTTTTGATGTGAAACAAAAAAGAAACATAATTTCACAATGGCTATTCTGTCTTCCTTATTTTAAGCATGATATTTTACTTATGTGCGATGTGCTGTTTCAGGCTAAGGTATTTATTCAAGACTTCCTAGTTATCATATTCTGTAATAGCATGACACAAATAAACAGCACATGGCTGCACCAACCAGTACCTCAGTGTATAGCAGGGCCTATTAAAATGATGTTAGTGTAAAAACCCTGCTGATGGGTTTATGCTGTCTCTACAGCCATGCTCAAGCCTGTAATGAGGACTGAGGTGTTGGCCCAGCAAAGCCCATAATGAAGCTGTATGCATGCTAGGGTACATAAATATTATGGACAAATAGGCTTTTCAAGTGCAAAATAATTGGGTTTGATAAGCAAAAAGGGATTGTTTGCCACATCCCAGTATAGAAACAGAGCATCTGGTGTGGAAGCAAAGTGGATTCAGTTTTAACAATCTGCTTATTGCAGGACAGGGTTGAGCTGCTGACATGTTACAGCACATATCAGAGTGAGAGTCTGGCCCTGCAGACACGTGTCTCCACGGGAAAGGTGAAGAGACTGCAGAGACTGCACTGTCAGCAGCAGACCAGGAGGAACAGATTCATGCAGTCAGGCAAGGATTTGAAAACAGGAGAGGGGACAAGAGCCAGGGGTCGGAAAAGCTTAGGAGCCTGCCGAAGTCTGGTGTTTGGAGGGGTCTTCCCAAGTACTGGTTTTTGTTAGAGTGTGAGACTGGGAAAGGACTCCCCTCCTGCTCAAAGTGGATGTTAAACTCTTCCCTAGACATGGTCTGTGCTTTTAGAGATGGAAATGCTTTCCACATATAGTCTTTCTTTAAATGTGTGACTGTCCTTCTTCCAGGCAGACTGCCCTTTTTGGACCTTGTCCATCGACCTAACCCTGAAATGCATAAAAGAGAATATGAATTAAGACTAAACATGAGAAAAAAGTGGAAACAATCAAGTACATTTTGGACATAAAGCCAGTAGACATAAGGAGCTGAGTACATGGAAGAGATTCCTCAGGAAAAAAAGCCTTCAAACTACATAGGAAAACCAACAGCTGTCACTGTAGACGCATACTTGTGTACAACTGGGACCTGAACAGAAAACTAGAGTTTGGGTCTTTGAGCTAAAAAAACCCCATACATGAGAGCATGCAGTACTCTGTCAACTGCATGAGAAACCCTGAGAGATGTTTGAGTAGGACAAACATTACTGTTTCCACAAAACACATTGATATTCTCTTAAACTTGGTGTCTCAGTTAAAGGACATAATTCTGTGCCATGAGCACTCTGTAGCTATTGGTCTTGTGCCTTGCCCTATCTGAATTAGGCTTCCCTACCTTCAGTTCATCCTTGCCTTCACAATGAGAGCTTATCCAGTTCATCTGGGCTGTGTTTGGACACTACTTCCTTCCCTGGGTGGGTTGACTCTTGGAGGAGTACAGATTATATCTGGACTGGGAAAGAGTCATGATGCTTGATGAGCCAGCAGTCCTGGACCTCATGATATCTAGGGGCAGACTGAGACTAGAGCACACCACAGCTCCTTTGGGCTCTTGCTGCCTGTGTAGAACAAGCTGTGACAGGAGCTAAAGTCTGACCAAGTTTCACCCCAAGCACAGGAGTAGAACACGGGTAGGATGTGCACCTGGAAGTGAAAAGCTGCTCCTGCATCTCAGGAAGGGACTCAAGAGTGACTGAACAGTCCACCTAGAGTAACAGAATTCTTTTTTTCAGCTTTTAAAGCAAGGAGAGGATGAACCTCCCCAGGTCCACATAGACACGTCCTTTTCAGAAAGGCAGCCCCTGTGCTGATGGCACCTCAAGATCTCTCCTTTCTTTAGGTATCCCCTCAATTCCCTGTGTCTCAGTCTGTATCTTGCTTCCATGCTTCCTTCCCTGTGAGAGGGTTTATTTTCAATCTTTCATATTTACAGCTCACTCAGCCCACCTTCTCTCCCCTTCATGTCCAAGAGTAGTTTTACAGATTGGCTCAAGAAGACGCAAAATCCTCAAAGCCAGTGCTGGAGGCGCTGTCTCAATCACTCTCAAATGTGAGCTGGGAGAGAGTTGAACTGTTCTCTCTTCCTTCCTTCCCAGGAATGAGTGCCCAGAGAGACCTCAGCAGTCTGGGCAGCTCTCAGCCCCAGCAAGGAACAGAAGGTCTCCGAACATGCCACACATGGTCATCAGCACCAGCATCTGCACGAGGTGTGGACCCCCTGCATGAGGGTCAACAATTGCAGAGCCACATCTGGTCCAGGGAACAGCCTGATCATATTTTGTGGCTTTTTTTTTTCTCCTTGTTTCTTACTTCATGTGGTTGCATGAAGCAATGACAGACAGAGCAGCCATCCTCACATCTCCCTGTGATGTCCCCCTGGGACAAACCCACTGCATTTCCTCAGGCCAGCAACAAGCTGGTGACAGAAGCCTGGGGACAGGGCAAGGTATCTCCCTGCCTAGAGGAGCCCACCAACAGCGAGTCTGAACTAGCTCCCATAACATCTCACAATTAATGTTACTAAGCAGTGAAGGAGTACAAGAGGAAAAAAATTCTCTCAAGCTCTTTCTCCTTGTCCCCACTCTTCATCTGCATATTACTACTTTTCCTGTCTCTTCTGTGGATCTAACTGAGCACAAAGTCTGTGTCTCTGAGGCCCCATAGTTATGGCCCAGGTAGAAAAGGGAGGAGGTTACCCTGTGCATGTGGGTCTTACCCCATTGTGCAGCGGGCGAGGTTCTTTGAACTGAGTTAGAACAGCCCAAGAGCTGCTCTGGTTTATACAGGAATCCTCTAACAGGAATTCACTAACAACAGCCCTGAGGAGCTGAAGCAGCAGGTCAGGCTTGCACCATTAAATCCCTTTCTCCCAACCCTACATCCACTTCCACACTATATTGCCAGCAGCATGTAAAACTGATATGACAGCACCTATGCACAGGTCTCTTGTCAATCTCTGGTGCTGGAGGAGACTAAAAGTTAGCACAGAAAGAGTTAGCTTCATTGGGATGGAGAACCACCACAGCCAATGGTGCAGACATCTTTAGCTGAGTCCCAGCTCCTCAGCTGCCATCAGGGTCACTGAGAAAAAACATGACTTAGACAGTCTAGTTTAGGTCTTTGCTTTGGGGCAAGAGAAGTCACATTCAAGAACTGGCTACTTCTCTCTTTTCTATACTTGCTCTCCTACATATTTTTCGTTAGAGCTGACAGCAATTTGGTTACTAGACAGTAATGCCCTTAATAAGAGAATATCGAGAGTCTCCTTAATTCACTTACAGATGTGCACATCATTGACATACAGACGTTTTGAAGGATGGTATTACAGCTGTCAGTTCACAGACAAACTTGCTCTGCTGTCATTGGTGTGAATTTCCTTTCATTCTAATGAATCAGGTATGTCCTATAACCCATAATTATTTTTCTTTTATATCAGTAACACACAAACCTTTCATTTCCTAGTAAATTCAATTTATGAATGCAAAATAAGCAAGTCACACCTTCTTGAACCAATATAACAGTGTATTTGCTTGGGAGCAGAGAGTACACAGCTGTGTGTATTGCAACACAACCATCGTGCATTGCAGGGATTTCGTGCTTTTTAAACAGCATTCATGACATCTGGGAAATATTTCTACAAGAATAAATAGGCACACAATGTCCTGAAAGGTAAATGGCTTCTTTTTTTCCCCAAAAAGCTTCCCAAATCAGTCAGTACAAGTTACGCCTCTTTGGTGTAAACAAAGTGCTGTAATTTTGATGCTATTTTGCAGGTAGCCTCTACTCACTCTGTAGAAGTACAGGTACTTCTCACGGGTGGAAGGTGGTGGGTTTATTTATATCAGATTTACTGAGGTGGACAAGAGCCAAGATGACAGTAGCTGCCCCCAGAAGAAACGCTTCATGCAACGTGCCGTATGAGTCACATGGCTCACATGCATGTTATATCTGACTTACATGTTATAAGGCAAATTATTTGGGTATAAATCAATCTTAGGTCACGGCCCAATTCACCCCTACCTCTTACTCAAGCAGTTACTGTGGAATATTTCCTTCTTAAGTGAAAAAAAATGCATTTTTTTCCACTCTCTTGTCAAAGGCAGATGTTTTAATTTAAAAGTCTGAAATAGAATTTTAACTTAAAAAGGCTACTTCTGCTCCAAGACTTTCAGCCCAGAAGAGAAATGCATGCTGCTTTCCCGCGTAATGGCAATGAAATAGAATAACAAACGTGATCTCAAATACCATGAAAAAATGTTACTGCAATATAAAACTGTAAAGGCCTGGTCAGGTTTCCTGAAGGAAAACATTTACCTCAAATGTGCGTAGGACTTTAGCCAACGCCCCAACTTCTTCTTTCAGAGAGAAAATCAAAGAAATCACACCATTTTTATTTTGGGACTCCTCGATGTACATAGATTCCTGAAAGGACAGAAAAGAAAATATGCAAACAAAAAAGGTTTACACTGGAAGTCAGTTTTACTTTTCTCCATTTCCCTTTTGCACTGCATCAGCAATGTAAAGAGGGTATACAATAGTGGGAATCAAGGCAACTTGACAGAAGTAGAGCAGCTCTGGGGCTGCTCCAATTCATGATGGTAGAGACACAAATCCTTTCTCTCAAACTTGGGTCCTTGTGGGAGCAAGGCAGTTAAAAAGGACATGAAAATAACCCAATATCACCTCTGCCTGGCTTCACCTGTCAGGTATATCAAGCTCAGGGAGGACTGGAAACATTACTGCACTTCGGTTTCAGCTCCAGTGCAAAGTCCTTCCCTCAGGCTTTCTTTTCATTAACACTCAGGATTAAGCGGAGCAACGTAGATGAACTCTGTGCAGAGGTGGAGACCATGATCTGTGACTCATTTCATTTCTCCCTGTACCTTCCAGGTACCCCCAGCAGAGAGGACATATTCACAAGAGGTATACGGAAGGTGATTTAAAAACAGAATAACGACATCAAAGAAAGTAAAAGAAACAAAAAAGGAAAAAATGTTGGAGCAAACATTTAGGTCTTCCCTAAATCCCACAGTCACTAAAGACTCAGTTCGGTCAAGATGTGTTTTCATTTATGTTTGTTCTCTTTCTCTTATTGATTTTCTGCTCTGCAAATTCCAAAAAGGCATTTTCCAGTGCTCTCAAGAAAGAAGAATGTTTATTTTAACTGTTTTCAGGGTTCTCATTACTAGAATGTATTTCTTTTCACAGAAGCCCTGTTAAGCAGGGAAGAGCTATTTCAGCACTTAAGAAGTAGGAAACTGAGTTCTGGAGTGAAGTCAGATTTTCAAAACTATCTGGGTACTTGACATAGCCTGCTGAGATTTCAAGAATCAATTAATTTTTTGATGTCTGAGTAAATTTGATGCATAACCAGCACAAACTTTTGGGAATCACATTAATGTCGTATTTTGGTTTGTTTCACTTCTTTTTAACTTCGACTGGCCTTGGGTAAATTGCCTCAATTAGTATTTCAAAGATCACACCAGACATCTGCAACACAGATGGGTCCTGGTGTAACAAGTCCTGGGCCAAAACTTGGTTCAAGGTACCAAATCAATTTTACTTTATGAAGATCCGTATTTTCAGTCAGAGCCTTTCCTCTGTTAAGCTATTGCTTAACTGAACATATAAATCAGAGTATAAAGAGTCTCAGTTCCCAAAAATTGTCCTCAGAAAAAATAGCCTTTGTAGAAGACAAATTAATAGGAAAATCCAGTTGCCCTGAAGCCATAAAGCTCTTGGTGGGAGTACATTTCCAGAGCTATGAAGAACTGCCTTCTTTTGTAAAGTAAATAATTGCTGATTCTTCATGCTATCTCCAAGGCTGCCTCCAAGGTTGCTGCTAACCTGAGATTTTATTTTCAGAGACTGGCAACACATTTTTCTATCTGGCTGTATTTCCCGAGGCTGCAAAGGTTTTCCAAATGTTTTTTACCTTTATGGGGACCTTCTATTGGGAACTAGAGTAGAAGTACTGCCTTTATGCACTGGAAGGAAGATTTCCATCTGTTCAATTGTGACACTCACCACAGCCTCTCCGTGTCTCCCGGGTCCTCACCCAGCCAGGGAGTCAGCCTAGCTCTTATATGGTGAGGACCAAGAGGAGAAGCAGCTGGAAGTGGTGTGTCAGCTGGCTAATGAAACCCATTTACACCTCGAGCAACCACAAGGGAAAACAATGACAGCAGTCTGGCAAAAGTCAAACCAAATGACTGTAGTACAGAAATTTTGTGATAGTGTAACCAAAACTGTCATCTCAAATACTGTCTATGCATTGCTTTGTCCTTCTGTTTTCATGCAGCAAAGCCAAAACTGTGCTACACTAGTCTTTGCCCAATGGGTCAAGAATTTGGTTTTTATGGTCTGAAGTGAAACTATTTTAAAAGACTTGCAGTATATATTTAAAATACTCTTGCCAGGTCATGCTGTGAGAACCAACTCATAATGATAGATTGACTTGAATTTGCAGGACAAACAAAGAATTTGTGGTTTGGATACTTGCAGGGGATATAATGCAAGGTTTAAGTCCTGCAAGGTAATTCTGGTGGCAATTGATCTCTTTATATAATAAGAATACATAAAAAAGCCTTAAAAAAATCTTTCCAAACTCATTGGCCATTAGTCTTGATGTGTTATCAGCTGCTTTCAATCTGTCCCCAGTCATTTTCCCACTCTTGTTAACTGATTTATATTGGTGCTTAAAAGTAAGACACTGTAGAGGGAGTAGGCACCAACACTGTAAACAGCATCATACTTGCTTAATTTCTCTCACATCTGCATATGCACTCAGTTCACTAGAGGGTCTTTTTACAAGCATCAGTTCACACCTGAGTCTGTCCACAGAGGTGACAAAGGGAAAGAAGACTGAAATGATTGTTTTCCTGGTACCCAGTTCTTATCAATATATATGAAGGCAAAGTCCATCAATACACACTGAGGACAATGGCAAACAACACATAAGCAAATGTAGTGCGTAATAAATTAAGTTCTAATTTTCTTCTAGATTATTTTTTTTCCAGGAAGTAAAATAAGAATCATTTGATGAGCATGAACAGCCATTCCCGGACCCAGTACAATCTCAAAGATAAGCGATGTGTAGATGCAACAATGGGTTTACCTGAGCACCATGCCAATCTTTATTTTTAGTTAACCACTTTGCACATAGATTGATATTGCCATTCTGACACCTGTGACAGTACCGGGGCTCAATAACATAATCTTGTCAGCCTTCTAATCCATTTATGAGATGTTTAGATAAAGCCCTTCAGAGTGAATTCCAACACTGTTAAAGCCAGAGAAAGTTTTTCTTTCAATTTCATGGATACAAAATTTTTAACCTGTGTTGTAACGTCCAGACTTACTAGATAGACAAAATTGTAGGAGAAAAGAGTGAAAAATATTTCAAATTAAACAAGACTCCTAAGTTACTTCTGAAAATGGAACTACTCTCCAAGTCAAATTCCTTAAGGCATTTAAATGCTGATCTCCCACAGATGTCATTGGAACCAAGCAATTATACAACTTGGATAAGTAGCAAGGTGAGACCCTATAGAATTGTTGCAGGAGTTCAGCCTCAGCACACAAAAAGCAGTAGGAAAACAGGCTTCCTTGCCAGCTCTTAGAAAGGTTTGTATAAATTGGAACCCTTTTTTGCACATCTTGTACACTTTGTCTCTGGCTTCAGAAGTGTTGCATAGGACACATACGTGCAGAATGTGGTCCTAATAATTAACCATGCTGGCCTCGGGTTACGTCACTTGTCCCTGCAGTAACATTAGTTTCTGTAATCGAAGGGCATGGGCTCCAGGACTTTCCTGTATTTCCCAAAACAAAGGGTTCAAAGTCAGTCAGTAAACATTAAAGAAGGGGACATCAAAGTCCCAAAATTTAACAAATAGCTCTACTAGAAGAAACAAAATTTCATCTATTTTCCTTTCATAGAAGAAGACAGCTTTCTTTCATCACACAGGTTTAATACTTCTAATAACTGCTGGTCTTTTCTGCTTCTTATTCTCTTTTCCATGTATGCAAGGATAATGTTGCAATGTTTATTTGCATTCTTACTGCACTTTTGCAAGCACAATTAACAACAGACAAGGATAGGCTGCCCCAAAGAGAGCACAGTGGCAACCAAACACCATAAAGCATCAAAACAGGACATGTCAAATCCTCCCATCTTGGGTCAAACTGGCTGTCAAAGAGTGGGGGACAAGATTTGCAAACAGGATTGGGGCAAACAGGCACCCCTCTGCAAAAAGCGGGCACACAGACCCCATCACCTACCTGGAAAGGGTCGCCATTCATTTTGCAGTGCTGTGAGTCCATGTTGCAGAGGCAGCGATGCCCACACAGTGAGGCCCCTTTGCTGCAGCAGGTGAAGCCTTCTGACCTAAGTGCAGTGGACAGAACTTTGTGCGGAGGTATTTAAAGTGGAGCAAGCAAGGCAAAGCCATCCCCTCCCTCCCCTTCCCCAGCTCCCTCCCCTGGACAACATGCCAAGGGGGCGTTCTCCCTCCACGCCCACCCCACCCACCCCTGGCACATGAACAAGCCGCTCCACACCGGCCATCCCTTGTGAGTTCCATGCCTGCGCGCAGCGGCTCTCCAGCATATTGTTTCTATCTGCACCCAACGTGGATGAGCAGCATGCTCTGAATTAACAGTCTTCCTTCTGCTGATCAACATCAGCTGTTTTCATTTCTTCACGTCAACACATCGTTTTCAGTTCAGCCTCCTGCCCATCCATTCCCACTGCAGAGTGTGTGTTCAGCCTCAAGTGGGCTTCCCATTGGAGGTCTCTCTACTGGAACAGACATCAGATGTTCTCCAGGACCTGCTCATTGGATGTCAAACGCCAGGCACATTAGGCTCTGCCACAGCGCAGCAGCTGAGGGATTTGTCCTTTAATAGGGCCTTTTGGGGTGCTTCCAAGAGGTCAGAGAGCAGGAGACATCACTCCACTCATCAGACACTAGAAAGAGACACCCAGTGTAAGGGAAGCATGAGACAGGATTTAGACACATGAACCTCACACTGGGGTATGAGCCTGAACATGGAGAAAAGGAAGAAGGTAAAGGAAGAAAAGGAAAAGGAAAGAGTAGGTCAGAGCTCTAGGGCAGGAGGATGTAGAAGATGTATGTACTCTTGTAGGTAGTGCCAGCCATGGAAAGCAACAAGGGGGACAGGGTGGGGGACATAAATTATTTCAGAAAATGTTACGTGATGCACAGGTAACACACTGGGCCCTGCTGGCATTGTGGAAGCAGGAGGGAACAGGAAAGATGGAGCAGTAGAGGAAAGGGAGGCTATCCTAAGTAATTGCCAGCAGTATAAAAACTACTGGTTTTTATCTACTCACACAGTAAATTCACTACAATAGCCAGTATTTTGTGTCCTGTGTTTGTGCAGCTTGAGGCATAGTCTTATCCATGATGGGAACACTGAAGGCCACCCTGAGAAAACTTCCTACTTGGTTTATTTTTCAGTGAGATTTAAAAAAAAAAAAAAAAAAATCAAATGCATGTCCTTTGGCTGGCCAAAGTAACTGTGGCATCCAAAATCATAAACTATGCTTTCTGTCGTTAGTTTCTGCCTTCCTATTTCCTCATTGTTTCTCTTTTCACTAATTTTTTATCAGTTTTACTTCTCTGTAGCTTTTTATGTGCTTTTGGCCTTTTCCCTTTTTTCTCCTCCTTTTTCTTATGTATGTTCACACTATCTGATGATAATGGCAAGGAAAAGTGAAACATCAGGTATCCAAAATACTACTCCTCCCAATTATTTGTTTTGCCTCCTTCTACTCCCTGCTTTTTCTACATATGTTGCAAACTTTACCCTTTTTGGTACATAGACATAGCAGTATCACCAGTGCATTGCCACCAGTTCACTGTTTAATCAGTCTGGACTGTCAGAGGCTGCCAGGTAGCAAAAGGCACTGGCTAGAGGAAGAAGTGCTCCTGCTTGCCAGCAGGAATTCCCAAATTCTCTTCTTCTGGAGCAAAGTGGTGTGTGTAGGGGTGTGGGAGTGTGTGCCCAGTGCTGTTACATGTAATTGCATCAGAATTGGTTAGCTTGGACCATTTCAGAGTCCAAATTGCTAGAGCTTCACTGTTGTCTTTGAAGTACTAGTTCAGCACACCAAGCACGGATTCATCCCCCTGCAGTGACATTACTAACTGTAAATTCCCACTCGGGTTTCAAGTTGCAGTGGCCCCTGTGTGAGCACTTGAGCTTTGAGTCTACTAATCCTGCTCTAGGCTTTGCTACAGCACCATGCAACCCCACTCCTTTCAAACATATGCAGCTATGCACTGGTGTCCCACATTGCTTTCACCTAAAAACACACTTTCTCCCTCGGAAACACACACTGTCTTTGGGTGCACACACACACACACACACACGCCCACACACCACATGCATCCGTTCCTGACTGTGCTGCTCAGCCTAACAGGGCTCTTTGCACTGAAAATTGGCAGGTTCCCCTGGCCGGCACAAAGCAGGTTCAAAGGGCCACGGACTTTGGCTGCTTTTCAGACTGCTCTTTCCTGCCTTTGCCTTTAGCCAGTATTTGCGGAGTGGTGGCTTTCCTAGATCTGGGAGTCTTCTTATCTGGGCAGGGGTGTCCCTTCCTGTGCAAGGACACGTTCTTTCTTTTCCCTGCTGGTTCAGAATGTCCCAATAGATGTGAGGGAGCAATGGGAAAGAGGGAGAGGGGAGATTTTCTAGCGAAAACAGAAGCTCACGGAACATCCCCAAATTAGGAATCCGTGAGTATCTCAGGCGATTTGTGTGGGAGGATGGGGAGCAATTCCCCTTTTCGACATCGTGCGTGCGTTTACCAGAGGTGTCGGTGTGCTGTCGGGGTCCTTTGCTCCCCAGACAGGCTGAATGTCCTCACACCCCAGTCTGCATCATGGCTGCAAAACCGCCCAGCCGTATCCCCTCTCTTTACAGAGCCGGGCTGCCCAAAACCTTAATGCTTTTTGGATGCACCCCATCTATCCCCTCCCCAGAGGATTTCCCCTGGCTCCTTACCTCCGAGGCGCCAGTGGCCGGGAGGTGGCACTGTGTCCTCACGGCAGAGACCGCTGGCGACAGCGGGGGGACCTCGGCTGTCCCCGCTCCTGCTCTCCCCGGGGAATAGGGGGGATCCATCTCCCAGGCTGCAGCAGGCATCACCCAAACCCTCTCCCACTCCCGTCAGGGGACAGCCGCCTCGGAGGTGCCGGCAACAAACACCCCCCACCCCTCACCCAGGTCCCAATATGTAGGTCTCCAAGAAGTGGTGCTGAGGGAAGGCGCAGGGGGGCAGCCCGGTGTGATTTATCCCCCGGGGCTGTGACGGACACGGGACTCGTGGTCGCACAATGGGACCACCCGGCGGGGCCGGCGGGCGAAGGGCCCCGCTCCGCGGGCGCAGAGGGCGGTGGGGGCCGGGCGGCAGCGCCCGGCGGGACCCGCGGAAGCTGCGGAGAGACTACTGGGCCCGGGCTGCGGGGGGAAAAGAGCTGCCTCGGGGATAGCTTTTTTTTTTTTTTTTTTTTTTTTTTTTTTAGCCCTATATGCAAACTGTCACTTCAAGTTAGCACAAGACCTGATGTAGCTCATTAGCATGAGCTGTATCTAATATGCTTAAAACCTCTAATTATTTATTATGCCCTAATTGGCAGCCCAAGAAATGTCTGCAAAGTGATGAGTGTTCATCCCAAGACGCCTTTCAAGGAGAATTCAGCAGTGTCCCTGGTCAAACGTCATTTTTAATTCTTCCTTGGAGCACAGGCTTTATTCGTCTTATAGATGATACAATGCCAAGAAAACTCGAACATCTTGCTGTCCCAAGAACCAGCCTTCCTCCATCCTGGGCAGGATGGGCAACAATTACTCACGAATATGGTTTAATGCTCAAAGTTCTTCTTTTCATAAGGTGATGCTTAGGAAGAGACATTAAACTTTATCAAGTATGCAAAAGTGTAAACAGATGCTCCTTGAAAATTATTTACTCGAAGGAAAAACCGTCAGGAGAAAATAATTTTCCTGATTTCTGAAAGTTTTGAAAACTATATCCACATAAAAGCTGTTTCAAAATAAGTTTGCCTCTCTGGGGTCGTCCTTCCTTCCCCCCACCCCCTGCCCCTTCTAAGTGCCTTTTTTTTTTTCCTTACAAGTCTGTATTATGTTTCTTCGGGCTGCACCAACTATTTATTTATCTTTATTCTTTCTCTCTTTCTTTTCATTCATTATTCTCTCTCCCTCTTTTTTTCCCCTTTCCTTGTGTGTGTGGCTTCTCGGTCTGATCTGTAGCTTGTTACCACCCACTGCACGCTCTCTCCTGCAGCCGAGGTGTTTCTATACAAACTTCAGCGTCCAGTTGTCATATTAATTATTACACTGAGTAATGACTGAAATAGTCAAAATAAGGGGAGACTCAAGAGAGCTTTTTCTTGCTGCTCAAAGATTCAGCAAAGAAGCCTTGCAACAAAGCACTAATTGGTCCCCAGAAATACTCTGACAAGGCATGGAAGATAGGTTTCATAAAGCCCAGCAATTGTGAAGGGGGAAAAGATCCTTGAATAGACCCCACGCTTCTTTTCTAAACTCTCTTGCTGAGCAAAAAATGGACTGCTTCTTGAATACTGGACTGATCTTGAATGCTATACCCAGCAGAGAAAAAAATGCACCATTTATTGTAAGTTTTTTTTCCAGCTATTCATGTGTTCTATGTGGAGAATAAGCTGGTTTTGTTTACCATGAAAGACCTTTTACTTTATTTTCACTCTTGGGGGGGAAGCTGGAAAGGGGAGGGGGAGGGCGAGGGGAGGGAGAGAAACACATGTGCCCAAATCCAGACGAGCTGCCTACTGTAACAAAATGGAGTGTAACAAATCCTACAGAAGTCCCGAATGTATCGATTCTTTGAAGATCTATATAGATTAACGACTTTCGTTCTGCTTTTCCAAGACAGCATTTAATCATAACGTAAATGGCCTTTAAAAAAGAAAAGAAGTGGAGAAGAAGGGGGAAAAAAAAAAAAAAAAAAAAAAAAAAAAAAAAAAAAAAAGAATAACAAAGTTGAGGTTTGGTTTTTTTTTTTTTTTAAAAAAAAAAGGCAAGGACTTCAAAAGACTTCATGAGTGTGGCTACCATTTAGATACACACAAAAGTCACTATAAAATAATGACAGTTCAAGATTAGAAAAAACAATAATAATAAAAAAGAGAGAGAGAAAAAAAAAGCCCAATGAAAAGGAGAAGGGCTATTTATCATTATGTTAGAATTAAGAATTTAAAAGTGCAGGTGCAGGACTGTGCATAGGAGTGGGTGGAGGCGGGGGACCTTGAAACAATATTTATTATCTCCAAATCTGGCAGCCCTAGACCCCTTAGTCTGCACAGTGAGTAGACAGGAGAGCTGGTAAGATTGGTATCACCTCAGACAACACGAGGGGTGAGTTTGTTCCCTGGCGGCAGTGGATGGAAAAGGATCGTGCTGAGCCAAGGGAGGAAAAGGCTCTGCCCCACATCCTTACACTCACACAAATATACCCGGAGCTGGGGTAAGCAAGAAGGTACAGGACCACAGAGGCAAAATTACATGAGAGTAACACTTCATGACCTCTGGAACTCGGGGGTTTTCCCTTCTCAAGAGCCCTCTGAGACTAGAGAAGGAGGGACCTGGAAACTCCACTCTCATTCTGCCATTTCAGGGAAAAAGGACAGGAATGTCCCTATGTGGTGTTTCCATGCCTCTTCTGGAAGTGGGTTGCTCCAGAATAATTACGTGACTTAAATATATATATATAGTTTGCAGGGCTGCAATTATTTTGGTATTTCTTTTACCACTTCCCAAAGTCACAATGTGGAGCCGGTGATGCAACAGCTATTTCCAGCAAAGACAATTCTGACGTCAGACAAGGGATGTTGAACAAACCATTCAGAAGACTTGGAACTGAAGAGGGAGAACTTCCTAAACAGAAAATAAAAGCAAACATTTTATCCTGCTTAGATTTGGCTGTCCTGCCAAAGAGACAATAAAATAATTTGAAAATTTTCACATGCAGTTAGACAGTAGGATAAAAGTCAAACTCAGTGGCCAGTGAAGAGGATCCTGACGTAAGTGTGTCAGAGGTTAGACCATACGGAACTACTTCACCTTTCTCATCACACATGCATTAAAAGCTGCCATGTTAAAAAATTACTAAAATATTAGCTAACAGGTGCACATTAAGGTTTTCCTGTAAAATGTTGCTGCTTAAACTCATGTGCATCACTGTTTAAACTCGTGCAAAACCAGGGTCAGGGATCCAGTGGTAGATGAGAAGTGATTTCTACAGCTCCAGGCTGCTGTAATTGAGGTCAGCAGCAGAGCAGGGCTTACTTTTGCACTCATTTCCACTGAAACCTGAACATGGACTGTGGAGGTCCCCTCCTTCCACGCTTTAGAGCTGGTGTGAGCGCCAAGGATTAAACCCTCGTATCAGGGACTTCCTAGAGCCGTAAGTGTTACCCGTGGTGAGACCGTCATACCATGGCTCTGCTCTTGTTACTGCGCTGAAGAGCACACACGTCTGAGTTTACAGAATGGAAAGGTACAGAGAAGTGGAGATAAGACAGAGCTGAAGGCAGAAAACATGTTAAAGCTTCCAGAAATACTTGGATATGTGAAAGGCAGGAGGGCAGTGAGAGAAGGCCATGCCAGGGTCCTCACTGCTGCTCATGCCAAGAGCAGGTCCACCAGCACGCCTCAGTGCTGACCCTCACCATATCTTCCAGGCTGCCTATACTCCTGCAGCCCCCAGGGTCGCTGTGACCCCCAAGACCTGCCAGCCTCAAGCTCTCAGCACCTCAGACCTGCTTTTCCACATCTGTCCCTTTTCCACATTTGAGCCACAACTGAGGGTTCACCTGGGAGCAGGGATAATGTCCCCTGCATAGGCCAGGTCCATTCTGACTCCCCAGTAAATGCCATTGCCTGCTTGGACCTGCTTCCACTTCGCAGGGTGCCAGGGGGATGGGTTGGGGCTCAGTGACTTCCTCGGTGCCAGCAAGCAGACCGTGGCTTGGGAATGGGATCTGGCAGTGAAGGGTGAACTGACTTCACACCTGCTTGCTCTGCCCAGCATACCCATACTTTATGCTGCCCTATGAAACAAACCTCCTCCCTCCCGTGCCGGACCTTGGCAAGGACCATCCACTTGGGACGCGCCCAAGAGGGGTTTGTTCTTTCTCTCCAGACAGGCTCGCCCCGTGGCGCTCAGCATTCCAGAGGGGTAATTCGAGGTGACTTGTCCCGAAAAGCCTGCTCTGCCCTGCTCTGCGCTCAGCCGTCCTCCTCCTAACACCCACACCAGCTCACCCGCCGTTGTTGCTGGCTAATAGAGCCATCAGCCCGGCCACGGGGCGTGTGCGGTGCCGGGCACACGAGGCTCCGGCCGCTGGAAGCGCGGGGGACGACAGCCCCCGGGCGGCGGGTCGCAGACACTCGGGCTGGCAGCGCCTGGTGAACCAGGGGAGCGATACCAGAAGCCCCGGTGCTCCCCAGAGAAAAGGGAAAACCGCCCTTCCAAGCTCCCGCACGCAAAGTTTCTCTTCCCAGCCGTCCCAGCAACGGCAGGGCCGCTTCCCCGGTGGGCACGCACCAGCTTGCCTGCCTGCCCACGCCACGGGCCGCCTCCCCGCCTACTCTTCCCGCACCGCGGCTCTCCCTCCCCTCCAAACCCTGGCAGATGCCTCTAAGGTGGCCCTAGCCCGACAGCGCCCCGACGACAGCCGGCGCAGAGGATGCCCCGCACATCCCAGTACCGCCCGCACCCCCGGCTGCTCCGGCAGCCACCCCTTTCCCTCTCCCTCATCCCGCCGTAGCAGCGCTCCGGCTCGGCCCCCGTCTTCGCGGGGAGCGGTGGGACACGGCAGTGAACGGCGCTCGCCCCCGTTCCTGAGCTGGGCTCCCCGCTCTCCCGTTCTCCCGCATACATTCCCTCCCCCGCCAGCGGCCCGCGCGCGCCGCCTCCCGCCCCGCGCGGCGCCCCGGCGGGTGTTTGCTCAGGGCCGGGAGCGCGGCACGCGCCGGGCGCACGCACTTCCAACAACAAACCGCGAGCGGCGGGGGCGGCGGGGCGGGGGCGGGGGAGCGGCCCCGGGGGGCGGCGGGGGGGGCGGGGCCGCGCCGCGGCCAGCGCGTGTGCGGCGGGGCAGCGGGGAGGGGGGGCTGTGCGGTGTGGGGAGGGGGGTGTGTGTGTATGGGGGTGTATGTGTATGTGTGTGTGTGTGTGTGTGTGTGTGTGTGTGTGTTCGTGCGCGTCCCCCCCCCTCCCCCGAGCTCCCCCCGCGCTGGAAAGGCGGAGGCGCTCCGCGGCCGCGGCCGGCAAAGCCGGGGAGCGTGGAAGGCGCAAGGTGCAGGGTGTGCGTGTGTGTGAGCGCGGGGGGGCGGCGGGGGGAGACTGCGTGCGTGCGTGTGTGTATGTGTGTGTATGTGTGTAGGAGAGGAGGGGGGGGCGAGCCCCGTCCGCCCCTTATAAGAGACACAATCCTCAGCCACTTTTTTGCAAAAGGGGCTTTGCAAAGCAGCCTGCGCACACGCGAGCGCCACGAGCCTCCCCGCGGCCGCCGCACGGAGGGCGAAAGGGAGGGGGGCGGGCAGAGCCGCCCGCCGTCCCCGCCGCCCGCCCGGCTCCGAACCTCGCTCCCCGCCGTCCCTCTCCCCTGCCGTTCGTCCGTCGCCTTGATTTTTTTTTTCCCTTTAAGTGAACGTCGCAAATTTTTTTTCCTTTTCCTATTTTCGATTTTTTTTTTTTTTTTTTTGTGGTAGTGGGGATACGGGGACCGGCCGCCGCTCGGGCGCCCCCGCCTCGCAGAAGACGCCCCCGCGCCCATGGCCAGCGGCAGCCCCGCCAGGATGTCCAGCGCCGCCGGGCAGCCGCCCTTCCTACAGCCGGCGTGCTTCTTCGCCGCCGCGGTGGCCGCCGCCGCCGCTGCCGCTCCTCCGGGGCCGCCACCGGGGGCGCCGCCGCCGCAGCTCAGCCCGGCGGGCGGACAGCCCTCCCCGGGCGGCAAGCCCTCGGCGCCGCGGGCGGCCAAGCGGCAGCGCTCGGCCTCGCCGGAGCTGATGCGCTGCAAGAGGCGGCTCAACTTCAGCGGGTTCGGGTACAGCCTGCCGCAGCAGCAGCCCGCGGCCGTGGCGCGGCGCAACGAGCGGGAGCGCAACCGCGTGAAGCTGGTCAACCTGGGCTTCGCAACGCTGCGGGAGCACGTCCCGAACGGCGCTGCCAACAAGAAGATGAGCAAGGTGGAGACGCTCCGCTCCGCCGTCGAGTACATCCGCGCCCTGCAGCAGCTGCTCGACGAGCATGACGCCGTCAGCGCCGCCTTCCAGGCCGGCGTCCTCTCGCCCACCATCTCGCCCAGCTACTCCCACGACATGAACTCCATGGCGGGCTCTCCCGTCTCCTCCTACTCCTCCGACGAGGGCTCTTACGACCCGCTAAGCCCTGAGGAGCAGGAGCTACTCGACTTCACAAGCTGGTTTTGAGCGCCGGCCGCCCTGGCGGCAGGTGGGTATGCGCCCGCGGAGGGCCGGGGGGAAAGCGGGGGACGGACGCGGGGCGGCGGGGGCGCAGCCACCGGGGCAGGGGGCGCAGCCGGGGTGCCCCCGCGGGCGGGCGCCGCGTGTCCCCCGGTACTTACGGGCGGCTCCGCGACCCGGTGCTGCGCTGGTCTCGGCGCGGCTCTGATCTCCTCTCTCTTTTATTGTTACAGGACAGTTACAAAAGGGAAAAAAAAAACAACAAAAAAACAAAAAGCAGACAAACCAACCCAACACAAAAGCAGATCGCACACAGAGAGACAGAAATCCACCCAGAAAAAGAACCTGTTGCGTTTCCAGCTCCCCCGCCGTCGGAGGGCGGTGCGGGCACGTCTCTCGGCGGGCGGGCACAGCGCTGCGCGCCGCGGGGGCGGTCAAAGCGGCCGCCCCTGGCCCCAGAGCCCGGCCGGCCTTTGCACTCCGTCGCACTGCCACGGACAGTGCCCCGGCGGAGCGGGTGTCCGGCGGGGGAGCCCCAGGCCGCGGGAAGGGCGCTACGCTCCTCGGCCGGCGGAGGAGCTCTTCTTCCTCCTCCTCCCCAGCAGAAAGGCGGGGCCCCCCCCGCACCTCGCCGCCGCTGCGGCCCTTCAGAGACTGGCGTTCATCACCTGTGGACAAAGTTAGTTTCCCGATGTTTGTGGAGATGCTGAAGTTAAGCTATGCTGTACTCAAAGAAGTCCCTGGAGCCCCGTCTACCCCCCACCTCCCGGTGCCTCTCCTTCCCCTCACTCCAAGCTTTTCCTCTCGTTTCCATCATAGAATGCTTCCAATCGTTGTTGTTTTTTTTTTTTTTTTGTGAATTTTTTTATGATAAGAAAATCTATTTGTATCTATCCTAACCCGGTTGGGGATATATTAAGCTATTTTTGTACATAAGAGAGAGAGATTTATAGAGGTTTTGTACAAATGGTTTAAAATGTGTATATCTTGATACTTTTTTTAATATGTAATGCTTCTTACCTCTTCATGTTTAGACTTGTAGTCGACGTTACCTTACAACTGCCATTTTTGTATGTGGTTTTGTAAAGGACTTGCATTTCCTCCAGATGTACTTTAGCACCAACGTGTCTTACTTTATAGAAACTTTGTTAATGTATTAATAATGTTATTAAACAATGTTCAAAGTGAACAAAGTTTATGCAGCTATTGTCCAAACGCAAAACGGTAACCATTTGTTTTTATATGCTGCCTTTTGAAAAAAAAAAAAAAAAAAAAAAAAAAAAAAAAAAAAAAAAAAAAAAAAAAAAAAAAAAAAAAAAAGAAGAAGAAAAAAGAAAAAACACACAAACAAACAAACAAATCCCCTACATCACTGCCTTTTCTTACTGTTTTGTTACAAACTTACAAAGGTCCTGGGTAACTCTTGTTTTATACAAACTAGTTTCGTAATAAAACTTTTTTTTAATTAAAATTATCAGCTGCCTACCGCATGCAATTTTTTTCTTTCTGCTATTGACAACGATGAATGTAAGGACAGAATGCTAATTGATGTTATACCGGAACTCAGTT